CCCTACTGCCCGCCAAATTTCTGAAGCCCAGTTCGGCTAGAGAATCTGGCTACCATACTGCCCGCTGAATTTCTGAAACCCAATTCAGCTAGAGAATCTGGCTACCATATTGCCCGCCAAATTTTTGAAGCCCAGTTCGGCTAGAGAATCTTGCTACCTTGCTGCCCGTCAAGTTGTTGGAACCCCAGTTCAGCCAGAGAATCTCACCACTTCTCCACTATCTGAAAGCTAGTTCGGCTAGAGAACCTTGAATTTTGTGAAGCCCAGTTCGGCCAGAGAATCTTGCTACCTGATTGCCCGCCAACTTTCTGACACCCAGTTCCGCTAGAGAATCTTGCTACCTTAGCCCCCGCCACGGGTTTTGAAACCCAGTTCGGCCGGAGAATCTTGCTACCTTACTGGCCGCCAAAATTCTGAAACCCAGTTCGGCCAGAGAATCTTGCTACCTTACTGCGCGCCAAATTTCTGAAACCCAGTTTGGCTAGAGAATCTTGCTACCGTACTGCCCGCCAAATTTCTGAAGCCCAGTTCGGCTAGAGAATCTTGCTACCTTACTGCGCGCCAAATTTCTGAAGCCCAGTTCGGCTAGAAAATCTGGCTACCATACTGCCCGCCAAATTTCTGAAGCCCAGTTCGGCTAGAAAATCTGGCTACCATACTGGCCGCCAAATTTCTGAAACCCAGTTGGGCTAGAGAATCTCGTTGTATGAAGTCATGCCAAGTGTGGCAAACAAGCGACGCTGGCTAGAAAGAAGGGTTGGCGCAAATTTGTTTGCAGGAATAGTTTTGTGCTGAGTCTCTTGCCCTGCTTGTGGCTGCCGCTGTTGCTGTTGCAGCTGCTTTTGGAAGTGTTTGATTGGTCTTCGTGTCCATGTTCGTCGCGTAGCTGCTGCTTTTGTTTGCTCGACTGTTCTTGGCGGCGCTATTGTTGCTAGTATCTTCTCTGCGCATGAAAGATTAGTGCAACCGCTACCATATCGATTATAGCAAAAGCGTGCATAGAATGATTGGGACAGCTGACGACGGTGTTTCACATGGTCGTGTTGCTTTCCTGTGCATGGTATCATGTCATGTGCATGATATCATGTCATGTGCACGAAATCATGTCGTGGGTAGTATGACATGTCCTGTGTATGAAGTCATGCCAAGTGTGGCAGCCAAACGACGCTAGCTAGAAAGAATGGTTAGCGCAAATTTGTTTGCAGCACTAGTTTTGTATTGAATCTCTTGCCCTTCTTGTGGCTGCCGCTGTTGCTGTTGCAGCTGCTTTTGGAAGTGTTTGATTGGTCTTCGTGTCCATGTTCGTCGCGTAGCTGCTGCTTTTGCTTGCTCAATTGTTCTTGGTGGCGCTATTGCTGCTAGTATCTTCTCTGCGCATGAAAGATTAGCGCAACCGCTACCATATCGATTGTAGCAGATGCGTGAATAGAATGATTGGGACAGTTGACGACGGTGTTTCACATGGTCGTATTGCTTTCTTGTGCATGGCATCATGTTATGCGCACGTTATCATATCATTTGCATGTTATCATGTCATGTGCACGATATCATGGCCTGGGCATGAGATCATGTCATGCACATGAAGCCATGCCCCGCGAAACAAGTCAAGGTTGTTGAAAAGGATGTGTCGGCGCTCATTTGCTTGCATGACTGGTTGTGTCCTGCACTTCTTGGCTCCGTCGTGGTTGCCATTGCTGCTGTTGCGCCCGCTGCTTGCGCAAACTGGAGAAAGCAATGGCGAAACACCTCACGACACGGGGCTGTAGCGCCTGAAACACTTGCATGCTTGAAGCATACTCGCACGCTTCACTTGGAAGGTTTAAAGGTTCGATGTTTTGACCACCCCCCAAGCGTTTAGATTTCTGCTGCTACGATGCTGCGTTGGATCGAAACCGTGGTCGGTGCGAGCAGGTGTTTTTGCTTATTGGTCCGCCTGTACGCATGTTTCGTGGCAGATAGGTGTTTTTGCTTCATGGTCCGGCTTTGTGCATGTGACTGCCATGCAGGTGAACGCTTTGCACCAACAACCGGCAACAATTCTTTGCAATGCCTGGGCCTGAGGATGCATTTCTTTTTCTTAGTCCTGGTACTTCTGATGCTTCGGTGCTGCGTTAGGGCCAAGCCCTGCTCGGGATTCATTCGGTGGAAACAGACTTGTATGATGGCTAAACCATTTCAAGCTAGCGCTCTTGTATGATGACTAGTATCGACCGAAGGACTCTTCTCAAGCTAGGGCCGCTCTATGGTTTATTGCGATGGCTTCCTTGACAGATCTTTCCATGGGAGGGGCAGCAGATCTTTTGACATTTCGAGTTCAAGTCCACTTCCCTCGGTTGGTCGATGTGCAATACACTTGGAATGGGAGCGAAGTTCGGTACAAAATGTTCTGCTGCCTTCTGAGTGGTGAAAGCGGAAGATTATTGCATGGGAGAAGTGAAGCCCTCCAAGAAGCAACCAAAAGTTGCTGAAGAAGCCTTGAAGAAGTATACAAGCTCCAGTGTGTTGGAGTTGTCGCGAGTGAAGTTGGCTGATTCCAAATTAGCCTACGTGCACACTCCCATCAAGAAGGTGGTGAACTTGCAGGCGACGAAGGTCAACGTTGTGAAGGAGAAACCCGACAAGACTTGGTTTCCAAAGCCCAGAATTCAGGTGGCTGAATGCTTATCCCTGCAGACAACGCAACAGTTTGATGTCATGGGATTTGTCACGAAAGTGGAGGAGTTGAAAACCATTGGCAGTGGGCGGCGGGTTTGCGAGATAGTGATCGAAGACGGCAGCAAAAATATGGAAAATGTCGGTTGTCAGCGCGCACTGTGCTTGATCACCAGTCACAAACAATCCAAGCTGACGCAGGTCGCGAATGGCGCGGGCTATGTTGTTCTTACTGAAATGATTCAGTGCGGTCTGAACCCTTCGGGCCACTACAAGTGCAAAGCAATTTGCAACTTGGACGACACTTTGAGCATGCGCTTGGACCCGCCCCGGCCAGGGGCTACGCAGTATGCTTTGCTGAGTATTTCCGGACGATCAGAAGACACCTTTTTGATCAATGCCTTGCAGCTTGTGCGAGAAGAGGAAGCCCAGGCTGCAAAAACGGGAATGCAAAGGTTGCTTCAACTTGCACAAGAACTTGGTGGCCCACGGAGGGACAAACAAGAAATCGTGTTCACTCCAGAAAATGCAAAGAAGTGTCGGCGGTTAGGCAGGTCCCCTACAGAAACCTGAATAGGGCAAGAAACAAATGCGGAGAGCCGGCCAGCTTGAAAAAATGCATTTGCTTCGAAGCTGCGGACATGGTAAGCCTAGGGCACAGGAAGGACCTTAGAAGCGCCAATTTTTGATGCGTCCCACCTGTCGACCTTAGAGTTTGTTTTTTAATGTTCTTTTCGTTTCCAGCTTCAAAAAAAACGATCGAAACCAAGACTTGCGTTGAAGGCCTGCCCTGCTGAAGCAAAGGCGCGCACAAGTTCCATCCTAACAAGAAACTTTGCAGACTTGCTGTGGGACTTCGAATGTTTGATATTGTTTTCGTGGTTTTGTATTTTTGCATTTGCTACCATTTCCCGCTTGGCATCAAAAGTCCAGCATGCAGCACTGGGACGACATCTGGAAGCAACGCGTGCCTTTCAAACTGTCAATTGATTGCTGGAAACTTACAGCAAGAAACCCCAATATAGGGCTGTCACAATCTTGAGCCAGGATTGGTGACGGTGCATAGTGTTGCGATCCTGTCATTTTTCGTTACTTCAGGTAAAAGAATTCCCAAAGTAACTTCTCGTTACTAGCAAGCTCCAAAGACTGACCTGCAATACGGCCATGGGCAAGTCTCTGAAGAGAACGCCTACAACATGGAAGACGAGTTGGAAGTGTTGCTTCAAAAAGGAGAATCCCAAACGCGTTTCGTGGTTGCATTGATGTCAAGGAAATTCAAGGAATTACATATGTGGCCTGTGTGAATTGTTGTTTTGACACAAGTGCGTGTTGCTGAAGGCCAGAAGTTGTTCCTTCATGAGATACAACAACTACAGGGCAAGCATTACTATTGAAGAAGCTCTACGGTGTGGAGCTCTTCCGAAAGATTTGGATCATGATTTTGCCAGAGGTTTTTTGATCTTGCTTGATGTTCAGGAGAAAACGCTATGTGGTTTGTGCGGTTGGAGCTGGTAGAGTGTATTTGTTACATGAAAAGCTTTATGATTTGCAACTGCAGGAAGCTGACCTTTATAGTGATGACAATGCTAGCGCGCAGGCGATACGTTGCGATACTTTTTTCGGGGCTGTTGCAAAATGCATGTGGTGTGTGCTATGAGGTTGTGGCAGCTGTGTCCATCGACCATGAGGCCATATTGCATAACATTCTCACGTTGTCAGATCAAGTGCGTTGTCAGATCAAAACATTTTCACATTAAATAGGTGCGTGACGTGCAAAGGAGCCTGCATTATCCGGGCATCAAAACCGAGAAACTGATGCAGAACAAGGCTTGTAAATCACTGAAAACCAGATGCAAGTCAGCTTTGTTCTCAAACTGCCACTTTGTATTTCATGTCTGCACGGCAGGGGATCGTGGTATGAAACCAATTGCAAACAAAGCAGAGGCAATGTTCGATGAACATTTTTGGTTTGATATTGACGGCCATGTGTTGTTCATGGTCCAGGCAGTGGAACTGACAGCGCGAGAGCGGATTTCGTGTGATGCGGGCACGCAAACCTATGAGAAGGTATGCGGATTCCGAAGGTGTGCAAGACTGTTGAAAAAACATCAACAGAAACAAACTCATCGTTTCAAATTGCGAAGCTTGCTTTTCAAGGGTTTGCGATGCAGCAGAAGCGATGAAATATCGGATTTTGGCTTGCAGCCTGGATCTGGCGCGGAAACTTGCGCCAAGAGTCCTCCACGGCATTGCAGATTTTCCTGTTTTGGCCGCTGCTGTGTTGGATGTTGCTGTAGGTTTAGAGGCAAGATGTGATGAAACTGCAAAAATTTTGGATGCTTGCCAGCGGAGCCTTCACGTGAACATCAAGGGGAAATCTCGCAGGAAAGAACTTCTTGCAATTTACAAATCAGTGGTTGTCAATTGTGCCTGGGGGTCACAGTGACACTGAAGTGTCCAAATGCGCACACTTGGCATTGACAGTGGCGAGAAAAGAAAAAGTCCCTCCAATCTTTGTAAGGACCAACTGCTGCAGAATTATTGAGGTGTGATGAGGCTCTCCAAAACATTTTAGCGTCGGGCTTTGGTGCTGAGCGACCGAACCTGTCTGACAGGAAGGTGCGTCGTTGGTCACAAGGCGCAGCGTTGCAGTCTCATACGCTGTCTTTTGTTTCCGTTTGCAAGAAGCATCTCTCAGGTAGAAGCAAACAAACGAAAGGAGTGCACTGCAGTATATGACCTAAGCACACAATCAACAAGGCGGAACAAAAAGCAAAAACACCATCCAGAAGGAACAGACGACTTTATGATATATGTTATGATGGTTCCAAGGGACTTGCGGTCCAGGAAGCAAACAAAGAAACCGTTGTATATATTTTTGTTTGCGTGTATGTTACGAAAGCCAGCCTTCGTAGAAGGCGCTAGCGGAGTTGTGTCTGGCGAACGAAGTGAGTAGTTAGGGGGTCTGGGGGGGTGGCCCGAGAAAGGTATACGTCAACTCGGCACATGCTGGGGGAGGAGGGTGCTCCGAGGGAAGGTTTTTTGAGGTTGTGTTGGAGGTGATTTTTGAGGGGTGGTGATGCAAGAAATGCCAAATGCATCATTTGCATCATCTGAATGGAAAGGTGTAGTTGGCACCTTGCAAGGTATAGAGACCTAGGGTAGCTATAGTGCAGCTACCAGGTATAGTACTTCAAGTTCCCTTTCCGTCAACCGCTTGAGAACCTCTACACACGCACAGCAATCCACAGCTTTGAAGTCTCATTCGTGCTTTGAACTTGTATAGGTGTGTAAGAGGTATAGCAACATACTATTTATACGGACCCAGGGTAGCTACAAGTAGCTACAGTTCTGTTCTTGGGTATGGCGCGCATGAGGCTTCAAAGGTGTGGTTTTCAAGCTAAATTCAAGGTGGCCTGAGACCAGGGTTTGCTGCCCTAAAACACTCTGTTCAGGCCACCTTGAAAAAAAAGGTGTAGTTGGCACCTTGCCAGGTATAGACACCCAGGGTAGCTATGTAGCTGTGGTTTTCAAGCTAAATTCAAGGTG